TTTGATTTAGAAGCGGTAAATCGCACAAATATATATATATATATATACTTATTTATTTGATCATAGTGATGATGATGATGCATCTCAAAACAAATATAAACACCATAAAAGAAAATAATCGAAATGCATCTGTCTTTGACCTTTCTCGTTTAGTTCATTGATTGTTAATCTTCACTCAATTGTCATTGTCATTAATCTCTAATCTTTTGTTTTTCACATCTTACAATGAAGACAAATCTCAAGCTTTTCGTCAATACAAAATTACATATCAATAATAGTAAATACTTTTCGCATGTAGATTTATTCTTTGTTTATTTTTTGTTAAATAAACATACATACAATGAGAAAAAAAAAGCTAATGAACACCAAAAAAAAAAAGAAAAAAAAGGTTTTTTTGTGTGTTTTAGTTTATTAATATTGTGTAGCATCATTTGTTGTTGATGATGAATTAAATAGATTTTCATGTTCTTTTGGTGATGATGATGCTGAATGATTACTTATATTCGGTATAATAGTTACTGGTTGTTGTAAATGTAAAAATGATGGACTTATTGGTGATGATGATGTACCATTATTTATTGGACATGTTAATGGTGCCATAAATGGATGATGAGATGCGGGTGATGATGTTGTACCATATGGAAAGTAATATGATGCTGGTGTTGAATAATATGTATTTGAATAATAAGCAGCCGCTGCTGCTGTATTTGGTGATAACGGTGATGATGATGAACAGGGTATACTAGCTGGTGTTGTTGGAGTATAAAATAATGTTGGATCAAATGGTGATGTTGATGATGTTGGATATGGATCAAGTTTTGTTTGAAAACCTAAAATAGATATAAGAAAAGAATAATTGAATTTTCTTCAACAAAAAAAAAAAAAAAACTAAAAAAGAAACAAAAGTGTGATCATTCCGGAATAGCACATTAGTGGTATAGTGTTAGTTTCTTTTGATGACAAATTGTGTAATGTTTAATAGTTATTAGAGTAAATAAAAGAAAAACAAAAAGCAACGGAAATGATTATAAAAAAAAAATAGAAAAACATTTTACCATCACTTGGTGAAGATTTTCGTTGTATTTGAGAATAATTATATGGTGATGAACGATATGATTGAAATTTAAGTCTTTCAGGTCCAACACCTGTATTCATAGGTGATGATTGATGAGTAAAAAACATTGAATGATGTGGAAATGGTGATACATAATTATTTCCATTTGTTGATTGTTCTTCTAACATAATCATATCTCGATCGTCTCTAGAATAAAAACAAAAAAAAGAAGTGTTTTCACATAAAATCAACACTTCAATTTTTTTTGTTCTGTTCTATTCTTACCGTCTATTATTTCCAGTATCAAGAAATGCCTTAGCAAATGGATTGTATTTAATTTTTAATGATGTTACCTGAAACATTAAAATTCTTTATAAACATCAAATAGAAGAGAAATAAAAAATATGTATATGCAGAAGGTGACGATTTTCGTTTTTTTTTTCCAACGAAACTGAACAATTTTCTTCATTTTTCTTTTGCTAAATAAGTATTGACCAGTTTCTCTCAATCTTAGTGACCTTGGGATTCGACGAGTTCTACTCGTAACACTCCTGTATGTGTATATATATTGATATTTACTTCTTCATTTTGATAAGCTGTTACAGCAATAAATTCAGTTTCATCGAAACTTGTTTCATAGATTTTCTTTTTTAACATAACATCAATTATTGCAAGTTTTGGTTTATATTTATGTAGAGAATTGAGTACAACCTATAAGATAGAATTTATTTATTTTTTGAATGTTTTTTTTTTGTTTTGTATTCTATTTCTTACTTGACATGGACCTGTTTGATTGGTTTTATTTGTTAATTTAACTTTTGAAAATGCAACAGTATCTCTCATCCATGTTTCACCATAATTTGGTGAATCCGGATGTTGATATGGTGCTCGATGTACAGGTGGATCTGGTTTTGTACCTGGTTGCCATTGACCACTAACATAACGCCAACGATGTGAATCAATTTGATCAAATGATAACTCAACAGAATACATTTTTTCAGGTTCTAAACCACGAATACTTATTGATACAATTGGAAACATTCGACGACCAGCTTTTGTCACTCTAAAAAAGTTGTTTTTTTTTTTTTTTTAAATAAATAAGATTTGAGATAATAACGTACATCATTTCATTCGTTAAATCATGAAATCGTTTCCATAAATCTCGATTTTGTAAACATATACTAATGTTTTCTCCATTATATTCTGGCTTCATAAGATATTGAATTTGTGGATGTTGGTACTATAATCGAGTATGTGCGAAATTTAACAAAGAAAGAAAAAAAAAAAAGAGAACTCATTCTACCTTGCCATGTTGATGAGCGGGATGTTGCTGTGGCTGTTGCATTGAATGAATATATTCTATCTTCAAGTCACACAAAAGTGAGAGATTCGAATTCTGACTTCCGACAAATATATGCGACATTTTCTTAATTCATTCTTTTCGTTTTAAATGAGCCAATGAGAATCAATTTTTTTTCTCTCTCTCTCTCTTAGTAGAAGAAAAAAAGAATGACAACCAATAGGAATTTATCACGGCGAATATAACTGATTTGATTATTTAAACATAAACTAAAGATATTTAGTATCGCAAAAAAAACATTCGTTGCTTTCAAAGTGATAGATTTAGAAAAATAGTGTAGTGCGACGAACTAAAAAAATTTGTCCATAAATTATTCAATGTATGTATCAAATGCAGGAATGACACGACCGGAAGGTATGACACCTTCCAACAAGAAAACTTTTTGTTTCTTTCTAGTAGAGCGGAAAATTTTTCATACATTTCCTTGGAAAAAAAAACTTTATACTCTCGCAAAAATTGCGACATCCTCTCAATGTTGGCTGCCTGAATCAAATGGGTTACAATACTTGGAAAATAATATTAGAGGATATTTATTTATCTTTCTGACTTCTCTCAATCGAAAAGATCTATTCTAGCTTGATCATTAAACGTAAAATACTTGTATTTAATTCCAATAGTGGCGAGTCTAGAGTCAAAGGGAAGGCATCATGTGTTCTCCATTAGTTACACCCTTGCTTAGAGTTTCTATAAATGAAGGCGATCTAACATGTTTTGAAGTTCATTAGATGTAATATATCAGATCATTTTCGGTACAGAAGGACGATCTACTCCTCAGTTATTCCTCTAAATCCGTCATAGAATTCCAAAACTTTTTTTTACCAATAGATATTTCATTTCGAATTACAGATGAAGTTTTCTAAAAAAAAAAATATCTTCTTTATTTCATTAATTAGAATATATTGTTCATATATAATTCTTTAATTATATTCTCACTCTATGTATAATAGCATCTTCTTCGACACTTATCAATTATCGTTATTCTCCTAACAAACACAACGAGACGATATGTGAATGCAATTACACACACATTTAACTTGCACAGTAGTCGATATTGTTATGCGTCACACATACTAATTAATCAATATTCGATGTCTATTTTTTATGACTAGAGATGGAAAGGTAGTAAAACAAAACAAAAAAACATAAGAAAAATCAAGCTGAGATTTTTCGTCTCTCATACATATGTCAATTGATCTACTGTTTCGTGAGCCTATCATCACTAAAAACATTTCAATTAGAATATGATATATATACTCTCACTTTGATGCTTTCTTACTAAGAAACAAAGGTGTTATAACGCCCTAGACATATACAGATCGAATTCAAGCATCATCTTCTACGTCGTATTTTTTTTTAATTTTATAACAGGGAATGGTTAAATCAATATACAATCGAAGTTGTAAATCGATTATTCGCTACCAGTACCTATCGTTAACCTTTCTTATAAGTTCTAATATTTGTTTTATTATTTTTTGTCTTTCGTGTATATATCAGCATTTGAAAGATGACACACATACTATACTTGACTTGAAAAGGTGAAAGATGAAACTTTTCTCTCTTTTTCCTTTCACTTCAAAGAATAAGTGGCATGAAGTCACTTATCAGAAGATGAAAAACAAAAAAAAAACGAAAGAAAACGAAATTTCATTTGTGTCTTCTGTAAATTAAAAGAATTTAGAAAACATCCGGACTTTAAAACCGGAAAGTGAAGTGATTAAAAAAATGATTGATATAAGATGACGGAATGTTTATTGATTTTTCTTTTCTTTCACTTAATAATGTTAAATAAATAGACGTAAGCTTCTATTGTATAAAAGAGGATCAGCAATGATGACGATGAACTTTCTCAAATCATGGCACTTTGTCAATAAATTTGCAAACATTCTTATAAGCTCAACAACTTACTGAAATATTTCACACACGTTTTTCAAGCTTAAACATAAACCAAAAAAAAACGAAGACATAGTATAGTAGAAAAATAAAACCAATGTCTTAATAGCCAGAGGAGAGTCAGTGTTGTATCCCGATTTTCTCTTCCAAGAGGGCCAACCAAATACCACCTTCACACTGAATAAAACACTTCACGGATGATTTAGCTTCTTCTAGAAATGAGACGATTCTATATTATCGACGTAGAAAATGCGTACTTTTCAGTTTTAAGCGAAGACTCAATTTTCCCTACAAATTTTTCTGTCTCCGCCATTAGTTTCATCTATAAACTTCTTATTCTTTCCCTTCCGAGATTCTTAGTTCGTTATAGTATTAATAATTAAAAACAAAATTGAATACTATGTTAAAATAAAAATTCAAGACAACATGATATTTATCGAAAAAGTTCAATTATTTTTATTTCAATGAAATCAAGTAGAAATAACAAGAAAAAAAAATCACATATGATGTTGATGAGTGTTATCAATTGTACTTTGCAATTGAAATGTTGACCAATTAGCCATAGCTGCTGTATGATGATGTTGAAATGTTGTCGTCGAATTTGCATAATCAAACATATTCGGTGTTGTTACTTGATCTGCTAGTAGCAATGGAGGTGCTAAATAACACATTATATATCATAAACAAAAGAAAAAAAAACTAGCAGAAAAATAAATAACATACAATTCGTTGACATTAAAGAATGATTGTGATGATGGTAATAAGGACGTGTACGATGTGTATTAACTGATGAACGATGTCGATGAACTTGTGATGATGATGTTGTAGCCGAATCATCAGTAGGAAATGGCAACATATCTGTGAAAATATATATATATATTTTTTTTTTTTTTAAAGAAGATGGAAGATCAAAGATATATATATATAAATAAAGGTGTGATCGGAAAAAATAACTTACAATAAGGAATAGATGAAAAATGTTGAGTTCGATAATCTGTTTCATTTGTTTGTCCTTCATGATCAGTTCTAGAAAATGAAATTATCAAAATAAATTTAATCAAACAAAAGAAAGACTTTGTTTTGTTACCGATCTCGAGGTTCTTGAAAAGCTTTTGCAAATGGATTATGTCGAATTTTTAATGCAGTTATCTAACAATAAAAATTCATTAAATACTAATTTTTTAAATAATTTTTTTTACTTCTTCATTTTGATAAGCAGTTACAGCAATAAATGATGTTAATGGAAATGTAAAAGTTTCTAATAAAATATTTGGTTGTCCATTAGATAATGATTGTAAAATATGTATTCTTGGTTTATATTTATGTAAAGAATTAAGGATAATCTAAAAAACGATAGAGAAAAATAAAAAAAGAACGAAAATTTTCAGGTTTTCTCTTTTCTTTTATTTACATGATCATCTTTTATTGGATTTGGACGATTTGTTAATTTAACATTTTTAAATTCAACAATATCAGACATCCAAAAACGGCCATAGTTAGGTGATTTTGGATGAGAATATGGTTCACCTTTTATTGTTACACCATAACGACGATCATGATTTAAATTTGTACTATCTTGTTTACCATTTGTTTGCCAATGTCCACTAACATATCTCCAACGATAATTATCACATGGAATAAAATCAAGTTTAAAATCATATAAAGTTTCAGGATCTAAACCATGAACAGCAACACGAAGAACAGGAAACATTCGTCGTCCACCTTTGGTTAAACTTAAATATTAAAAAAAGAAAAAGTTTTATCATCATTATGTTGCACTTTTTTTTTCTTACATCATTTCTGTACTTAAAGATTCGAAACATGACCATAATTCAGTATCTTGAAGTTCTAAATGTATTGTTGATTCCGTTCGTGGATAAACTTTAATTAAAAATAAAAAATAATAAAAGTAAAGAGCGAAAAAAAAAAGAAGAAACTTACCTGTTTGAAGCATAATTTTTTTTCTCTCTTTTGTAGTATATGTAATCGCAATAGATCACGCCCAAGTGTGGAAAATGGAATGAACTTGTGAGATGAAAGAAGACAAGGAATATGAAGAGAAAGAGAAGCTAGAAAAAAAAACCGAACCTGTTAACCAATCAAAATATAATTCAGTTCTTTTTTTGCTATAGAGAAAAAAATGTCGACAAATATAAATTTTAGAATATTTGATTACAAGAGAAAAAGAAAAGAATATAGTGGAACCGTTTTTCTCAGGAATGAGAAAGTTTGAAGAATATTTCTTTGAATTTGTTGATTAGTAACGAAAGATCTATGACGATGTATGTGGAAATCAGTCTATCCTATTTTGTAAAATATTTAATAATAATAATTTAGTAGTTTTTCCATTTGTTTGGAGATAGGAGATGATCATTCCAGTTGCATCAGCAGATGGAAATAATATATCACAATTCATTTATTTCTTAAATATTTCTATAAAAAAACAACATTGATGCACTTGTTGCAAGAGAATATTTAGCATGTGCTTTTTTTTTTCTTTTCTCGATGGATTGTAAAATAATTAATATAGCGTAAAATTATATTGCTTGTATATTTTCTTTTGATTTTCCACAGATATCTATTTCTATGAGAAAATTGAAACTATTTTATAGAACAAAAAAAAAATACTTTCAACAAATGTATGAGAATAATATAGAAAAATTTAATTATTGGAATTTTCGATAAGTTGTATACGGTTATTACATAAAATATGATGGGAGAAAAATTCCTTTTTGAAGATTTATTTGTGAAGGCTATTTTAACTGATGAGGGAAATTCTAAAATTGCTAAATCGTCTTTGAGTCGAGACTATGTATTTCATGTTGACTCTAATAAGCTATGAATACACTGAAAAGAGTTCGCGCTCTTAGCTTATTATTGCTCGTATACTGCATTTTTACGGTATTGTTTTAGTTAATACCATGATCTTCTTCAGAAACACTAGAAAAACTCATTTTCGAATTTCAACTTGAAGCTATCTCCATAGAAACTGGGCTCACAGAGGATACGGTTTATTGTGAATGTTTCAGGTTATTTCATTATCCCTATATCAAAACTTCGAGAAGTGATAAAATTAAACAAATCATTTTTATTACGCTTCAATAGTTTTCTGCATCGATGATATTATTTTTTTAAAAATTTCTTCAATAAAAAAAAAGAAGAAACTAATGAGTGAATAGAAAAATTGACATAATTCAAAAAGGCTAATGAACACTTTGTTTTATTCAAGTTACAAGAAATTTTTTAAAAATTTTTATCAACAAATGACTTGATCTTATCTAATGAAAAATATCCCTACAAGCCATGATATTATTTTTAAAGCTCGCATTACATTAGTATTTTCCATAATAAATATTTACTTTTTGTACTCATAGTAGATTTTCAATAACAAAATGATAAATACAAGCTGTAGAAAAAGAACATAGGACCTGCACTTGTAAAAGTATAAAACTCTTCGATACAATGAATCAGAGATAGACGAATGGCAGTGTGTCACAACACTGTGCCTTGCCCACCAATATACTATAATATTTTATGGCTCCTTCGTCTCCTGGCAATATTGTATTTTTTTTCAGAATACGGTCAAATATGTAGAGACCTCTTTAAATATCTATATAAATCCTTGCTTTACACGCTACTTTTGACGGAAAGATCTTTTCAATGGAATACACATTTGAAAGTATGTATTGGTGGCGGAGTCAGGGAAAGTCACAGGAGACTGAGGATCCCTAGTCCAAAATTCTGTCTGGTACTACTATGTATATGTATAAACATTTAGACCGCTGCTACATATATTTATATAATACTAGATAATGAAGCCTAGGTCGTAAATTAGAGTTTAGTTTATATATAGTTTATGCATTTTTTTACATTTAGTTATAAACGAACTGAATGAATGTTGTTGTTTTTGTTATATTTTCATGCAATATGTATTTAAACTATGTGTGTTGATCTCTTGAAATAACATAATAATTATGAAAATCGACGGAAAAAGTTTTGAAAAAAAAAAGGTTTCTAAATACAAATTTTAGTGGTGTGACTTGTTATAGTTGCTTCGTCAATCTCTAATAGATATATTTCATGTCTAATATAAATGTAGTTATCAACAAACAACTTTTATTTTAAAAGCACTTGATTTTCTTTCTGATCAAAATAAAACAATATTTAATTAAAACAGTTGAAATAAAGCAAACATAAATTATATATTGAATCTGTCTTTTCATCAACCATAAATATCTGTTAATTTATACATAATAATTAATTCAGGCTAAAAGAAAAAATTTCATATGTTAAAAACATATTATAGTTTCGATGAAATATGATGAATAATTTTTTCAATTTGAATAACATCAGGATGTGTTGAAGGAAATAAATGATGATAGATTTTTGCTGATTTTTCCATATAAAATAATGCTTGTTGAAGTTCATTCTTAGCTTGATAAACGAAACCAATATTTCGTAATACCATTGCAATATCTGGATGATGAGAAAGTAAAGATTTTTTAAAGATTTCAAGTGATAAACTATAATGTTCTAATGCCATATCATATCGACCGAGCTGATAATGTACATTACCAATACAAGCATATGTTTGACCTAAACTAGGATGTTCAGCAGAAAAATATTGTTGACGAATATTCCATGCTTTATGATAAAATTCTAATGCATCAGAATATTTCTGTTGTTCTTGATAAATAATACCCATATTATTATAACACATGGCTACATCTGGATGATTTTCACCAAATATGTTTTTCCAAATTTCTAATGCTTTTTCATATGATTCTAATGCAAGTGTATAATCACCTTTTTTTGAATAAATAACAGCAATACTATTATAACTCATAGCAATATTTGCATCATCTATTTTCATTGTTTGTGTATCATTTTCAAGTGATTTATTGTACCATTTTAAACTTGAATTATAATCACCTTTCTTTTGTGTTACTTCACCTAATGCATGATAACATCGAGTTATATCTTCATGATCTTTAGGTAATTGATTAAGTATATAATGATAGTATTTTTCTGCATTATCTAATTTACCCATATGTTCTAGAATAAAACCAAATGAAAGAGGATCGGTATCAACAATGTCTAATTCATTCTTTTTTTCTTGAATAAATGATTGCAATGGATGATCATTATTTGAACATAAAATTAATTGAATATTCCAAATATTATTAATATCACGATTAATACGAACAAGTCGAAAGATTGAACCAATCATAAATAAAACTTCTTCTTTATTTTGAAAATAACTATAAGAAGTAATATTACTAAAAGATTTGATATCATCTCGTTGAGGATCACCAATAATTTCAATAAATACTTTTTCCATATTATCTGATGATATCAATGATGAGAGAAAATATCGAGTTTGTTCATAATTCGGAGTAGTTAAAAGAAATGAATTTATTGAAATAAATTCTCCAGACAATTTTGTCAATAATTCTAATTCTTCTTTGAACATTAATTGAGCTCGATAAACATGAATAGAAGATAAAGATTTATTTTTTATCAATTGTTGTCTAATATCATGAATAAAAAAACGAAAAAGTAATAATAAATCGATATTTTGTACTCGAATTGCTTTATTCATTAGTCGATAAAGAAATGAATGTCTCGTATACCACCATAATGATCGTTCAGATAAATAATCTTTTTCAAATTCTTCTAAAATATTTAATTCATTAGAATTATTCTTATATTGTTGTTTACATAATGTAATTAATTCATTTTTATCATTTGAAGATGATTGCATACAAATTAAACAATCAATTAATATTTGTGAATCAATAAAATCAGAATTTAAATTAGTTGATAAGGAATTTTCATCAGTCTTTTTAGAATTAAAAAAATTTATTGATAATATTTCATCGAGATTATAAAATTGTCGTTGATTAAAATCTGATTGAATTCGTTGAATAAGTTCATTGCGTCGAACAATTACGCCTTTTATCTAAACAAAAATATAATATTATAGAGAATTAATTTTTTGCTAATTAACAGAAATTTATTAATTGATTAAATATTTTAACAAAAACCTATCCCTAGTGAAGGTATTGATGAGGGAACGTCCTCAAGTGTAACTCGCCAATCAAACTAATATTTTGCCAATAAATAGGGTACAGTTTTTTACTGAATTTTCTATCTCTAACAAAGTATGTATAAAAAAATCAAAGTAGGAATTGTAACTTCAAAACATGCCCGATGCTCTGTCTTGGAAATCTTAGAATGCCTTGAAAATTTTAGCTTAAAGGGATGTGTTCTTCTTGAGATATTGAATATTCAAAAACAATCAGATGTTACAATTTCATAATTCGATTGTGTCATAAATACCTTACAAGAGATTCAAAAAAAAAAATGAAGTAAAATTGTAATAATTTAGGAAGGATAGCCTATGGAGACAAACTCCTATAGGTTTCTACTAGTTCCATTGGGGACCTACTGATTGGAAAAATGTCAGTTCGATTGGCGAATTACACTTGTGAACGTTCTCTCATAAGTTTTTAGCACGTAGCTATAAAATACTTTTCAATGTTCAATCAACTAACTTGTTGAAAAATTCCTCATAGAATGCTATAGAAATTGGACGAGTATCAGATAAGTATTCATATACTTTGACAATTCTCAGCAGGGTTCCCAATAAAAATCCTGTGACATACTAGTAACAGGATGCACTGTTGGCAATAGACCCAGTGCACGAGCACCTTGAAATCATGAGAGAACGTTTCTAAATGTCGACTCATTTTTGAGTCGAGATAATGTACATCATGCAAGTTCTAATGAGCTATGAATATTCTGATAAGAAATCAGGTTAATAGCTTATTGATGTCAAGATATCATATTATTCAGCGGAATACCATAGTCTCTCTCTAGAAAACTGAGCTTTGAATTTCGACTTGAAGCTTTGCATAGAGACAGGCCTTAGTAAAAATAGTTTATTGTAAAAGTCTCAAATCTTTTGATTCATTCTATCCTTAAATAACAGCTATGGTAAAAGCATGATTTTCATGTTAGTCATATACAACAGCAACTTCTGATGTTCTTATTTCAGAATAGATGCAATCAAAAACTCTGAACTTTCCACAATAAGCTATTCTCGTTTAACACTTGGCTCGGTGCAAAATTTGAAACTCAGTTTTCCTGGGGAAGACCATGACATTCTACTATAAAATAAAGTATCTCGACAGTACTAAGCTATTCGCCTGAACTCTTCTTAGAGTATTCACAACTCATTAAAGCTCACACGATCCATATAGTTCTGACTCAAAAGCGATTCGACGCTTAGAAAAGTTCCCTCGTCAGTACATTCACTAGAGATTTGGTACGTAAAAATGAATAAAGAAAGATTAGAATAATTAACCTTGTTAAGATTGTTTATCGATTGTTCATTTATATTTTTATCATTTGAATAAATATAAATGGAAGTAATTTGTCGAAGATGTACAATTTGAGGAATAAAATGTTCACTTAACTTTCTTTTAATAATTAAAATAACTCGATCATCTTTCGATAATGAATAAATATATTGAAGACATTTTTGTTCATCTTCAAATATTAATAAATAATTAACAATTGTTCGAAGTTGTTGTCGAATTTCATTTTTCATCGAATCACCAAGCCAAATTAAATAAAATGTTTCAAAATTTTCAATTTCTTCGATTGTCTCAGTTGTAGTCATTTTCTTTTACTTACAATATCATACAAACATGAATGTTTCTATGATTATTCATACAAGTACTTGAAAATTTTTTCACATGTATATGTTTTTTTTTACTTCGATAATTCTTGATTACAGTTCGGATGAAAGACAAACAGAAAAATGTGTCATTCATTTGTTGGACATAATATTATTTTATTGCCTACCTTAACAGAACGTAGCTGCAGAATAAGAATAAAAATGAATATATATTCAATGTTGCTTTCTTTTACTTGATGAAGAAAGAAAACGGACGAGAAAAAAGAAAGAATATTTGCATGTGTCAATGCAAAAAAAAATCAATTTATTTCATGCACTGATAACATTTTAAAAATAATCTAATGTTTTTTTGCTTTCATAGTATATGAAATCTTAACTTATCTTTTATTTGACATTGATTCAATTGGATCATATTTTAAGTTGAATAGTAATACGAATTAATCAAACTTTATTTTGATTTTGTGAGATATGTAAAAATGGTAAAATTTTAATGAAATTTCAAATTTAAATACAGAAAGTTCCATTGAAATCAGTTCTTAAATATAATTACAGGTGCTTTTAAAAATTGCGGACACATATAGATATGACGAAAGCTGTAGGAAAAAAAAGAGAGAATTCAAAACGAACGTTCATGCTTATTTTAATTTTTACTTATAAAAAGAATTTCTTTACGATTAGATATCAAGATAAGTCTTGTTATCTTTTACAAATAAAATCAAGGTAACTATGGGTATCCGCAGTTTTAACAAGTGCACTAAATATGCAAATATCATGTGATGTTTCTATGCGATTTCCTTGAAAAATTAAGACCCATTTTTAGCCTATAACAGTAGCGGTCGGATTCTTTGAGTTTTGAACTCTTGGAAGAGTTTGAGGTTTCGTATGCCCACACCCACATCCATTACCGTTGTTTAAAATGTTTGCGTAAGCAAAGCATGATGGTGTCAATTTAGTTTGAAACGCTAGAGTTGATCTGTTACATAAATTTCAACAAACTCTTGAGTCTTAAGGGTTGCTTCCGTTGTTGAAGTTGCATTTTTGCGAGTTCTATAAGTTCAGAACTCATGGCAACTGGACACGTCTCATCTTTTCACTAGTATACCATAGGCTCAAATATGTTTAGGCTTTTCTTAGTTCTATAGAAATCATAAGTCTCGATAGAGAAGACTCCGGAGTGAGCTAACCCCCACGTGTTACACCGTGTCAGCGAAAATTTTCAATTGTTTTCAGAAAACTGTTTGTCGAATTTTGAGTCCCTTCGACTTCTAAAAAACTATCGAAAGTACCGACAAGGATCTACTCATAGTCATACTATAAATTCAAACAGCGTCCGATAGTTGGAAATACTCCACGCGGTTAGCTGAAAGAAAAAAATTTAAATTACATTTTTTTTTTACAGATTCAAGAAGCATGGGTCTTTTGAAACATAGAACTCATCTTATCAATTGTCGATTATTCAAAGACAAACTACATTTCCTACGATCTTGAAAATTTTTATTAGCACTAAAACAAGAAAATCTAAATAGACATCGTATGTTGATATTAATTATTAATTTAATTCAATTCGAGTTGTAATATAAAGCGTTTTTTTGTAACAAATAAATTTCAGATAATAAAGACATTCGTTCTTTTTTTTTTTTGGTTTGATTAGTTTTTATTTCTTCTTATTTTTTTTTCTTCTTGTCGTTTTTTTCCACGGTAAAAAATAACAACAAGTCCATCAAAATGAAAATATGATGTTCAAAAAGAAACAAACAAAGAACTAAACGAGTAATACTCGTTGATTGTTTACGAAGATTTTGTTGCTACACTTGTTTTTGTTTTCGTTGTTGTTGTTGTAGTTTTTGTAGCATCTCCAACCTTTTGTGTTTTTGTTGTTTTGACGAAATTAACGCCTGATAATCGTTTTGTTTTTAATGATGCATGTGTACGTTCTTTACGAGCGGCAGCCTAAAAATTAATAAATTAAAAATTGAGAAATAAAAATCTTTTTGTTTTTTACCTTTGATTCAGCTGTTCTACCTGTTCGTCGTCCTTTAAGTTGTGTTAAAAGCGTTTGACGTTTTTGTACGGCTGCATATGGATTAAGTCGTGACATTAAACCAATATTCTTCAATGGATTCTTCTTAACTTTACGACGTGCTTGACGTTTACTAATATAATTAAATAAAAATATATAATTAAAAACAGAAATTGAAATATTTATACACTTACATTGGTGCACGAAGTACACTTTGAATTTCGAATGCCTTAAGTAATCGTCCTAAGTCACTATTTGTCATAATTGGTTGTGGAAGACTAGAAAAAAAAATATGTTGAAGAAGTATATTTGATGAATAAAAAAGAAAATTCAACCAAGTGTGTCGTCTTCTATTCATATTGCATTTCCTTTTATCAGTAAGAGTTATGAAAAAAAAACAAAAACCGTTGATCGAAATGCTCAAAATTTTTTTATTTATTTGTTTCCAAACATTATAGGAAAATATTCACATTTATATGGTGATATGTTCCGGGAATGTAGATACTTTTTTCTCTAGCCTCATTTAAAAATAAATTTTGAGAATTATGTTGTATTGAAAACATAATTCTCAAATGCGGATCGATGAGGCATTTATAATAAATAAGAATATAAAACATATATATAGATATTAATCATCTTACTTGAAATCAGTCTTGAGTTGGGATTTTTTACTCCATGTACCATAGAGAGCATCGAGTTTTTTGAATGCTGATTCAGTCCATATAACAAATCGACCAACATGACCACCTGGTGCCATACGAAGTAAATTAAGACGTTCAACATTTAATAATGATACACCTAAAATATTCATTGAAAATTTTTATAAAATTAAACTCGATCTTCGCAATAAAAGATTCTAGATTTTCGATTATGTCGTTGGTTATGGCTGACGAGAAAACTATGCCCGTCGTTACAATTCATATTGAGTTCACAAGAAAGTCCCGGTAAGACTTGAAAAATTTCAAAAAGAATTCGTACATATGGAGCCAAGTTATGATCGTTTTTCTTATAGATAAGTCTAATGATTTTGGGAATATCCTAAAAGTTTCAACCGAAAAGAATGTTCCTTTGTCGAGATTTTAAATTTCTAAAAAATAGTCGTTTGCTACAAAAATTGAATTTACTTTGAAATTCAATATCTTGACAAAGGAACATTCTTTTCAGCTGAAACTTTCAGGATATTATCATAGTCATCAGATCTATCTATAAGTAAAACGATCATAACTCAGTTGCATAGATACGAATCCTTTTATGATTTTTCTAGTATTACCGAGATCTCCTTATGACCTCAATATTAGCTTAAACGGTGGATATCAGTTCAGATAGTTCTCTCGTGAGTGGCTACATTCTTCGACAAATATTCAATAGATATTATATTCAAGCTTGCTATCACTAGCCACGGAATGACCTTGAACAAGTCACTAACCATTGTTTGTCTCGGATCAACCATTCGATAGCATGCTGATTACGTTGTGACATACACCTGCCTTCGTAGCTAATTAATGTGCATGAGAAACTCAAGAACTCTGTGTCAGGTCGGCCTTCTGTCCAGTACTACAGCTTACAAAGTTTTGAATAGGATGAATTTATGAGAAATTCTTTGAAAAAAAACATTTCTTTCTAAAATTTGTTTGTTCAAAATGAAGAAGAAATATTTCATAAATAAAGAAATATTTCCGAAGACGTAAACAATTCTCTTCTTTTAATCTTCCTCTCAGTTTTTGGAGAAACATTTTATATAAAAGATGTTCTCCCAAGATAAGAGGAGTGAGAAACAAAATAATTAAAACAATATATATCTAAATTTTAATTTCAAATAAATATATTTACCGGGTACATTACGAAAAGCTTTTTTAACACCATTATCTTTATCATAAATAATAACTGGACCACGTTTCATAACTGTTCGACGATTACGCATTTTACCTTTACCAGCACGCGTATGTTTTGATGAATAAACTTTAAGAATATCGGACCAAGCACCAATTTTACGTAAAACACCAACTGCTTCTTTAGTTTTTTTTAAATCTTGTATTTTATCCGTTAAAACTAATGGAATTTCTGGTACAGTTTCAATACTATGACCTAATTAAAGCAAAAAAATTATTCAATAAAAAGAAAAAAAAAAGCAAATAAAACCTTTAGCTAAAACAAGTGATGGAACACCCGAAGCAGCAATAGCACTAACAAGTGCATAACGTCGTTGTTTTAAATTTATTTTTCTATGCCATTTACGCCAAACTTTTAATGGTGCATACATTCGACCACCACGACACATATTACCAAAAGCACCTTGACCAGATCGATGTGTACCACCACCACGTACACGTGGAATACGTGCTACAGCACGACCAGTACCCCATGATTGAGCTGATGTTTGTTCACCTGAATAAAAGGAAAAGTCAAAAGTAAAAAAACAAAAATAATTCTATTATTTTAACGCACCAGCTTTGTCACTAACAGCACGTGCTTGTCGTTTGTTACGTCGCATTTGATCATGAACAAAATTGACAATATCTGTACGAATTGGTGCACGAAAAACGGCAGGTAATACAACTGATTTTCCTGTTGATTGACCTTTTTCATCGTAAACACTAACAAGAGGTCGCGAAGCGGCCTTAAAAGAAATAAAATTAAAATTAAAATTAAAAAAACTTAAACGAAAACAAAAAATAAACACGAACCATTTCTATTAAGTCTTCCTGATTTTAGGTTGAATTCAAAAGCAAATGGATACGGGTGAATATTGTCGACCCCCACAGAAAAAATGGATGTCTTTTGATAAATATTGGATCGATTGTTTATTTCAATTAATATAAAAATTCTTTAAAAAAAATTTCATTAAAAGAAAAATTTTAATATAATTTTTTATATCATACAAATTTTTTTCTTAATGCATTAATGCTTTAGATATAGAGGTTAAGCTTAAGATGTCAGTAGTTCATAGAAATAACCAATCGGAAGTGATATGACGATACACACAAATTATTGTTTATGAAATACATTGTGTATTGAAAACAAAGTATCAAATGATGCTTTGATAACAATTCTGGAATATATTATCGTCAAATGTAATTGAAAAAAATTCTTCGTCAGATATGTCTACGCAATTTGACGTTAATAGTAATGATACGTAAGTTTAGAAAAATAAAACGTTATAATAGAAATAAAGATTTTTATTCATCTTTTAAAAAATTTTCGAAATGTCTAGTATAGAATATGTACAAAGTAGATTGAATTTTTGCTAAAAGACAATTAGAATTGAAAAAAAACATGTTAAATTGAGATTTATATAGAGCCCGTCGGCGTCCAGATCCAAAAATTTTGAATCCGATGGGGTCTAGTTTCATGCCACAAATACTTCAGAATGTGCTAAGAAATGAGTGTCTAATGTTTTATCCGAATAAGATAAATGTAAAAGAATTTGGATGCAGAACTTTTTAAGCTGGTGAACTTACGAGAGAAGACTCTCAAAAGATTTCAGACTCTTAGCTTAATACTGCGCCTATATTACATTTTACACTACTCTTCAAGCCGTTGCCGTAGCGCCCCTCTGCAGATCGGCTTAGGCCTTCTGGGGTTGATGGTCACTGTAACATGTATTATGTGTCTATGCTGCCGAAAACAGATGTCCGCCTTGCTCGAATTTTGAATCTTCCCTGCGGGACAGCAGGAAAATTCCTTTTCGAATATCGGCTTGAAACTTTGCATAGACAGCTTAATGAGAATGAATTGTCATGAAGATTTCAGATATTTTGATTAGCTTTTATCTTAAAATAAGAACAACGAAATGGTCTGAAACCTTCACAATAAATCATTTGTCGTTAAGATCTGTCTTTGGGGCAAAGTTTCAAGTCGAAATTTGAAAATGAATTTTCCTACTGTTTCTAAGGAGAACCACAGGATTGATTTAAAAAAGACTCTAACAATGCAGTATCTTTGTAGGAATAAGTATAAAATATACCCATTTCGATGTTAGCTCGAACTTTTTCAAACTTCTCGTAATCTGACAGGAGCTAATTTATTCCCGACATAAGAAGTCAATCGATACCTCACAGTTAAACATCATATAAAATACTTAGTTCGACCTACATATGTATTAGGGCTTGACTCTAGTCTGATGTTGAGTTTCATATAAAGCAAATAGTAATGCTAGACGAAATAATGATTTTGATCTTTTCAATTTTGAGAGAGCTTGCTTTGATTGACTAAAAAATATCTTAGGACTAGAATCTCGAAAAATGGATCCATATCAGATTGAAGTATGCACCCATTCGAGTTACCTAAATATCAGTTTAAAATTGGATCTGATGTAATTAGAACTGGTAGATAGTTAAATTCAATCTACTCTTTTATTTTATACATGACAAAGAATAGTTTAATAAATTTATTTTCTTGTAGTCTATTGTCGACTTCTACTTTTCCAATTGATTCATCATCATTATGGCTTATATTTCGTATTAAATTACTTATCTTAATTCCATGTATACTTGCATGTATTATATTATTTCTTTTAATAATTTATTTACTAAAATATTTCATTGATTATTGTCGAAAATCTCGTCAGAAACTAACAATAAATACACGTACAATGATAAATAATAAATGATATTTCGTTTGTTGTTTTTTTTTCTTTTTTTTTGCATTTTTATCCGGTGATTATCTCATTTTGTGTATATATTTATAAATAGAAATAGATTAATTTTGCCATCGAAAAAAAAAAATCTTGTTTTTTTTATTTCGTCTTGAAAAATCAGTCGAAAATAAGTGTTCCATGTTTTTACATATCAAATAGGAAATTATGTTTTATTAAATTTCAAAAATGAAAAGTGACTCGTGTTTAGTTATAAACGAATGAATAGAGTTAACGTTCATGGTTTCGAATAGCATGAGACTCTGATGTGTACAAAAATTCTTTATTTGTTTATGTTTGATTATATAGAAGAGAAATGTTTCAACATTTTTAAAAATCGAAATCAATTTATATCTCAGAATATTATCATTCATATTAACATTGAATACCTAATTGGAAAAAGGTTAAAATTTCAATTGACTTTTAAGTAGATTCCGGATTTAAAGAAAAATCATTTATCTAGTTTTAGAGAAAACTAGAAAAAAAACATCTATTCTTTAATTAAATTTCTAATTTTATTTATGAGAAATTTCGTTAGAACTTATTTCAAATTGAATATTTATTCGTATTTTAGATCAGCATCTCTATTTCAATTCATCGAAATCCAGCGTTAATCAATTTTTTCAAACGCACTGGATTCAAAATTATTACTTATTAACGATCACCAAGTTTTTTAAAAAGTATTATCGTCATTTGTGTTCGATGGTATTCAAAACAAACATTTCCAGTTTTTTGAACGAATCTATTTCCAATAAAACATTATTGAAAATATCGTTATTATAGTCAGCTTTGTTTTTATGTTGTCTTTTTTTAAAGCTTAAACCTGGTACTTAATTTTTTAATCTGGTTTCTCTACGAAGAAGATAAATTTTTGCTGTTTTCTGTCGAATCGCCATTTCAACGTGGACTAAAAACAATACATCTTTTGCTTTTTGACATAAATAAACACAAGTAAAATATTTAATATTTATGTAATTCTTTAATTTCTTAACTTATAAAATAAATTTGATAATTGCTGGAAGATGATTGCAAGACTATCGGTTCTTGGTGCACTTTATACTATGCAATAGGAGATATCTATTGTCTAAGTGTTTTCAAAACGTGATTCAATAAAATAAAAAGAAGTGGAATTAAGCGAAAATGACAGGCAGAAATACGAAGGTGTCAAAATCGTTGAAGAATATCATAGAATCATTTCACAACGTAGTAGTAAGTCACATTTTCCATCTTTGAATCTGCTAGTGCAACTGTCGAAACTCTATTTTCAGACTATTCAAAGATTCATGCATAACTCTAAACTTATTAGGCCTATAAAAAAGTCCAAACTGATATTCATGAAAGAACACAATGTTTCGGTTCTAACCTAAGACTTTAAAATTTTTGCTAACCCTGATAAGCAGTCAAAAAAATGAAGGAACACTTTGTTTCAAAACTTTTGAATGATCTGTTAGAAATAATGAAACCAACTCCATTCATATTTATATTGTTGATACAATGATTAGTATTAAATATCTGAAAATTAAATCACATATTAATGTTTGTATTGGACAGAATTTAACAATAGTGACTGATCATACAGTATTGAAATTTAAGATTCAATAATTCAATGTGAATACATTTTTACACATGATTAAGATTAATAATTATGTTATGAATAAATATTCATTAAAAAAAAATCATGAAATGCGAGTTATGATTATGCAATAAATAAAGAATGAACTATGGTATTTTTAATAATTTTCTTTTTTGCATATATTTATGTTCTTGCATAGGAATGGAAATCATTTCTGAAAACACTGTTTGTGCCGATGATAGTTGTAATTTTTTTTTTTTGTGATATTCAATTCAGTTAATTTTTATGCTTCATATACACTACAGACTTGTCTGAATAATGATGCAAATCGGGAAAATAAATTTTTTGGAATATGAAAATCTCTAAAAACTGAGAATTGGTCTTTTTGTTCAAGAACGTTTTCTAAGTATTATTTATAAACATAATCTTATAGCTGTATGTCTGCCACTGACGATGGAAAATTATATTGTTGTGGCTTGTTCATAGACAAATCTCGAGGCTCTGGTGTCTATGATAAAAGGATTCAATATTGTGCGTTTTGCTTAATCAAAGTGACATCTATGAATATTGTTTGAGGTTTGCCGATTAATATACCATATAATCTATTCTCTTGTCATATGTTTAAGGACTGTATCATGTAAATACTTATTCTTTCTACGCAATTTTTATATTCTATTCAATACAAAAAAAAACAGTTTGTTCATTAAACTCTCTGTAATTCAATATCTCAAAAAAGATGAATCGACGTTCATCAAGTGCTGAATCATTACATTCAACGAGAAAATCTGTTCGCAAATCTAATAATTCATCATCAATATCAAAAGTCTATGATCGATGGACAATAATATGTTTAGTTATTGCATCAATAAATATATTGAACGGTTTATGGATGATAGTTGCACCTGAACATTGGTATTACAATTTACCAGCTGGTGTTCCTGAATTTGGTCCAGTAAATGTTCATTTTATACGTGATATTGGTTGTATTTTTTTTCTTCTTGGTATTGGACTTATTTTTGCAGCATTTTATCTTTCCTATCGTTTACCATTATTTACAATGAATACAGGATTTTATTTATTACATATGTTAGTACATGTACATGAAGTTGTTAGTGGACGAATACGTTTAAGTATGTTTTGGGTGGATTTACCTGGAGTTTATATTCCAGCAATTATTTCTTTTATATTAAATATTTTTATTATAAAACAATTTCAAAAAAAAAGACATGATACAATTTATTAGAGAATGAAAATTTAAATACTTTCGAAGATATATTGCATTATGACTAAATATGTTTTTTGTATTAAAAAAAAAACATTACTTATTAATAAATCTTGGGGTCTTTTTGTTCCTTTTAATAGATTTTCTTGTTTGAATTTGATATTGATAAGAAAAAAAAAATATAGTAATTAATTTCAATTTTTCTAGTAGGTCAAACAGAACTAGTATTTACGTCTTATCTATAATGTAAAGATTAAACAATATTTGTTTATATTATTGTCAAAGAATTATTTCTTGATTTTGTTATTGTTCTTATTATTAAAAGAACATTGTTTTTACAAGTTTTTCATGTTGAATTTTTATTTTTCTACTTCTTTTTTTTAAAATGCCAACATATCTTGATCGTTTACCAGTAGAAATACTTTATATAATCTTTCAATTTATGTCTAATTGTGATGTTATATGGTCATTTTTTGATGTTAGTCCTTATTTAAATGCTGTATTAAATAATTATAATTGGCATAAATTAAATTTTAAATCAATTTCAAAAATACATTTTGATTTTATTTGTAATCATTTAAATTTACACAAAATTATATCATTAACTTTATCAGATGATTTAAAAACACCTGATCAAGTTCAACTTTTTTTTAATCGATTTAATCTTCAAGATTTTATTAATCTTCGTTCTCTTACATTTCTATCTATAACTAATGAAGATATATATCCTATTTTATTCAATTTACCTAAACTTAAATATCTTACTTCATTAATTACAGAATGTCGATCATCTCAACCATTATTACTTGGTCAAATATTAACTCAATTAAAATCTCTTGAAAATCTTTCTGTTTCACATGGTGATATATTTGATCATAATGTTGCCTTGCCATTACGTAATTTAAAAGTATTACAAGCTGGTACTTGTAATTTTTTGGAATTACGTCGTTTACAAATGATTGTACCTTCACTTGTTTCACTTAAAATTAATCTTCAAGCAAATCATCAATTACAATTATTATCAGATTTCGATATATGGTCATCTTTAGAACGACTTAATCTTACTTTAAATCGTAAGAAAATGTTTATTCATTGATAAAGAATGAGAAAATAATTCATTTTAAAAGTTTTAAATCTATCTAATACTCTAATAATGAAATTCTATTGACTAATTAAAAATTTTTGAGTTCATATTTTGTTTTCCGTAAGTAAGATTCAATGAGGCTAAAAAGGCTATAAGAAGACATGTGCTATTTAGACCAAGAAGTATGCATACATGGCTTATTGAGACTTAATATCAAGATTAGATCATTCCAAATGCTAAATACTTTTAAATAGCATTGAACTCATATAGTTCGGTGGAGACTATGTCTTTCTGGCGGATTCTTGCGAGGATCACTAATCTGGAATTGTATGAAAATTACGCGTAGTTGCTAATATCAAACATGTTGACTCTTTTCTTTTCTACTATTTTAAAGAAGAACCAATGAACAAGTCATAGATAAATATGATAAATTGTACAAGGCAATGATATGCGTAATATTTCAATATGTTAAAATATTCATACTTAATCTCATTTTTTTCTAGAAGTCATGTTATCAGATGAATATAACAACGTAAGTTTTACAACATTTTCACATCTTATAGCACATTGACTCTTTAAAATGCATGAAACATTGCTATCTATGAGAGTATTTTAAAGATTAATTTTGCTTTTGGAATGATCCAATCTTGTCGTTCAAATGTAGCACAAGCCATGTATGTATACCTATCGTCCTAAATATATAATGTTCTTAGTAGTGTTGGAGGCAGGTAGTGGCTGAGCTTCCTCCAGAAATGAGACGATCCTACATCATAGGCAAAGAAAATACCTGCTTTCCAGTTTCAAATGGAGGGCTAAGCTTCCCTACAGTTTTTTCTTGGCTCCGCGCTACTAGTTCGTAGCTCAATTAGAGAAATTAATGGGAGTAGATTCTTTTATAAGTTTTCTGAACTCGTTGATTATTGTCTACGGACAAAATACAAGCTCAATTGATGAATAGATTATAAAGATTTTGTTATTTATATATAAATTTTTTGTAAATAGATGAAACAACAACAACATTTATTGAAATTCAACGACTTCTTTTTCATTTTTATAATTTAATACATTTAACATTGAATATACGTGGATCAGCAGATAATCTAGCAGATGGATATCGCTGGGAAACATGTTCGACAATAATTCGTCTTCGTAAATTTAATTTTATTATTGAATTTCAAGATCCATTTACTGATGATAGTCAAGTAATGAATGAAATTTTAAAAAGTTTTTCTACATCATTTTGGCGAGACATTAAAAAATGGTATATTGCTATAACAACACATAATGTATATACAATATCTTGTTTTAATGATCAATTATTTATTATTCCAACTACTTCATTACCTTTATCAACATCATTTGATAATCATTGGTATTATTCAAAAACTAAACGAATAAAAATTAGTAAAATTATTTCATCAATTAATCTTAATCAATTTTATAATCTTGAACGATTAGATCTATTTGATGAAAATAAACTTTTATTAATAGATAATATTAATCAATTTATTCATCTTCGTCATTTAATAATTCATCAAAATATATCAAATAAAATACTTTGTAATATACTTAAACATAATTCAAATATTGATCATCTTACTCTTTCACAAAATAATTTTCATCAATTAATTCCATTAGAAAATATTCATTACTTACATATTGAAAATATAATAAAATTTACAAATCGTACACAAATTAAAGAACTTTATCGAATATTTCCATGTGTTCAACGATTATTTATTCATGTTAATTCAATAAGATTAATATGTCAAATAATTAATGGTTTTCATCATCTTGAAAATGGTATATTTCAATTTAATGGTATAATTAAACCAATATCAAATGAGTGGTTAAAAGAAAATACACGTCTTAATAATAAAATATGCTCATTTACATGTCGAAGTGAACCAAATAAATTTTTAATATGGATTAGTAATTCGGTTAGTATGAAAATTTTTTATGAATTATTTATATTTTATTTAATTTAGATTGTACCAACTATTCATTTAAAAGATAATATTGCGGAAAATTTTAATTCTATTCAAGATCAACGATCAGATAAATGCTCATTACAATGAATATTTTATCCATTTTTATCGATTATTATAAATATAATATGGAATTAAATTTATTTTGTTTAAATGAACTAATTCTTTGACTAATTGGTCTATTGTGTTTTTTTAATTATATTTTAATACAATCTTTGCTTTTGCTATAAAAAAAAACATTGATAAAAAAACGGATGATTGTAGCAAATACAGTGGTTGTAAAAAGACCTGCAGTCAGATGATTGATATCTCCGAGTAATTTTAACCATTTGCCTTGCAAATTTCATGATCACAATCATCCACAGAGGATGTGGGTGTTGGTGGACGCGGGGGAGTGGATGTGGATAGTCATTCTCTTAAAATTTTCCGACTACTTTTTTCTTTTTTTACTCATGTACGAGTTGATGCCTCTGCTTCTTCTTCGATTTGTTTACTTCGTTTTCGTATTATTTTTCTCAAAGTTCAAAATGTGAATGCAAACGAAAATAGAGCTTACACAAATATATTGGAAAGAATAGAATCCGCTTTTCAGAAATCTCACGAGAGAATATCTTCAGATGTCAAATTGCTTTCCAATTGAGATAATGTTGATTTAATGAGTACTAGTTAAAGACCGAAAACGAACCGAACTCGAATCAGTAAAACTCTGTTCGATTTGGTCTCTGATACTAGTGAGTCATAGAAAGGTCTAGAATGGTTTGATTTTATGAATCTTCTTTCTTGAAATATCTAGATTTTACTGGATTTTTCAACACAAAGCTATGGTCTCTCTTTGGATCACGTGAAAAATCGACTTTCGACTTCAAGCTTTGCATGAACAAAATTCTCAATGGAATTAGTTCATTGGACAAGATATAACTTTTCTAATATCTTCTATCCTGAGATATTCAATATTCTCTCATGTGTTAAAGCAAATTCTGTTCATACATATACAGCTTCTGATAGAAGATACTAGAAAAATTATAATTTGTCCAACGAATTTATGTTACTAAGAACTTTGTGAATGTAATGTTTGAAGTCAATTTTTCAAAAGACTTAAGAGGATCACAACTTTTTGTTAAAAAATCTAGCAAAATTTCAATATCTCAAGAACGAGGATTTAGAAAAGCAAACCATTCTAGTGATGTATATGTAAGTAAGTCTTCATATCTGCTTCTATCACACGTTTGGAATCAGTGGCGCAGCCAGGGGGTGGTCATTGGGCAATTGCCCAATAAATTTTGTGGATAGTAGCAATTACCCAATAAATTTTGTGGATAGTAGCAATTACCCAATAAATTTTGTGGATAGTAGCAATTACCCAATAAATTTTGTGGATAGTAGCAATTACCCAATAAATTGGTGAAAACGTGTTTTTTTTTTGCTCTTCACTGTTGATTTTTTGGGGTAATAGATTGGAAAAACTTATGACATTTTCTGTTTTAATTCTCTTCAGGGACCATAATGTTTGTAATGCTAATAAGTATGCTAAAACTATAGCCCAAATGATCTTGAATTGCCCATTGTTGCCCAATCTGCAAAATAATTTAGCTAGGAAATGTCCCATGGACCGGAAATTCATGGCTACGACACTGCTTGGAAATATCAATTCTTGAATTAGTTTGTTTTATTTCAAATATTTGTAGAAAAATGGACTAAAACCAATACCAACAACTAATATACTTTATTTAAACATTTATCAAGTCTTAAATCCCAAATATTGTCTAGCTTAAATTCAATAACCAGTCTAAACAACTATATCTATAACAATCACACATTATTTAAGTTCTCTTTCCTCTTGAAAAATCAATTTTCGTCAAAAAACATGAGGATTGAGATAAATACATGGGAAAATAGCTCGATGTCTGATGTTTCATAAATGACATGATTTCTTATTTGACACCTCATTTGTTCCAGTAATCTCCGTCATATTTTGCTTGAAAAGTATAATTTTTTTCGCTTTTTCTATTTATGTTTTTCTGATCTCGCATCCCAAGATTCTTGAAGAAGTTTCATTGTAGCAAATGGCTTTTTCTGTAGTTTGAAAGATCAAGTCCAAATCCTACGCATGACAGAGCTTACTTTTCTCTTCTTAAAAGGTAAGAATTTAAAAAAAGGCTCTATCATGCTCTTTTAAACAAAAAAAAAACAATTAAGTATATAGAATAAAGGCCCACCGAGAATTTTAAGTTACCAAATGAACTATTTTTGACTCTTCCGAAAAGATAATGATATAGGGCTGAAAACTTCATAAGATTTGAATGTACCTAAACTAAGATCAATTTTTTGCGGGAGGCCTTAATATCTTTGATATATCTGGGATATATTTTCTTGAACATTCTCTATAAAATTACGATAAACTGAACTCTTAAATATGGTTATTTCGTAACAACTAGGTTCGATTAGATCTACTTCAGACATATATTATTCACTATGATATGTTGCTAAAAGGTGACCTCATTGATATCTCAAACTAAGAACAAGGTCAAGTGAAACTGATAAAGAAAAAAAATGATAACCTTCACTCTATTTATGCTGTCTGGTACAATGTAATCTAGAAATCTGACGACATCTAGCGATGATAACCCATACCAATGGTATGATTCGATTTGTTGTCATATTTGACCGTTGTCCAGTATCTATCTATATTTCATCGGTCAATTTTTTCATTCGTTCATTACTAATTGATTACCAAATATGGCATCATCACGTTTGAAATCAGATGAATTGTTTGTTGGTATTGTATTTATTTGTCTATTAACAACAATATTATGTTTAATGATTTCAATAAGTAATCTACCATTATATTCTAAATATCAACAAGTTAAACTTCAACAAGCAACATTTTCACTAATTATTCAATGTCATATTGATAAAATCATAGTACGTGAAATAACAAATTCCAATGATAATTCATCGTGGACAATAATTGAAAGTAAATTTATTATTTCAATTATACATCCATTAAATAATACAAAACAAAATTTTGAAGAATCAACTGTACCTCTATCACTTTACAATACAGTAGTGCGTAGTTTTTATTTTCTCTTATCTTTATTATCTATTTTTTTTTCCTGATATCAGGTAAATAATTCATATCCATGTTATGTTGATCCTATGGATAATGAACAACGACCATTAAAATCTGCACCAGATGTTTTTGGTGCTCGTCATGAATTTATTTGGCGTACATTCGTTCCAGCTTTAATAGCAACACCGGGTATTATTTTATTTATTATTACATTTATTGTTGCAATTATTGATAAATGTCAAATAATTATTGCATCACGTCCACGAGGTTTTTTCCGAATACGAACACATCCAACAAGTACGACATAAATAGAAGTAAATTAAAAAAACAAAATTGTTTTGTTTTTCTCTCTCTTTTTTTTTTGATTCGGTTATTATGCATGATATATTCTATATGTCGCCGTCATTTTCTATAAATGTGCCAATTGCATGTATAAATAAAAGCCAAAGAAAAAAAAAGTTTTATTTTTACTTTTAGAACTAGTTCTCTTTGTTTTTCTAATTTATAGTAAATCGATTTTAACGTTGTGCCTATGGTAGAGCTCGCCAGGTTGATCCAAATCTGGATCTGAAAACTTTAGACCCAATGAATTCTAGTCAATAGCTTTGATTAATTGACTCGATTTATATACAGTGACTCCTAAAAGTATTCGATCGAGTTTATTTTTAACCGAAGCTTTTGAAGACGAACTCATTTTGGTTAATTCAAACAGAATTCTATAAGCTACAAAACATGAGTTTTGGGAAACGAAGAATCATCTTCATCTTCTCTAAGGACTTTTACAACAGCGGCAAAAATTGAAAATAAATTAGTTCGAATTATTTTCGAAGTGATTGTATATAAATTGTATGAAATTAATATGAAGATGATGAATGATGTCCTTCGAGATTCTATATTGGAAAACAAAAAAAAAGTTTAATGCACATTTATAATTAATTATAGATCAAAGAACATTTATGAAGAATAATTGAATGATTTTTTTTTGAAGTTGTACTCATTACAGTCAAACAATGATTGTCTTCTCACGAAAGATCTAATATTGTTTTAGATATCATAGATTCATGCAATGTTGAATTTTCAATTTCAATAGAATCATTTACGATGATCTTTTAAGTAGAGTTCTCGAAGTGGAAAGGATTGGAGACAGACGGTCTGTTGTAGGGAGAAGCCGGACCTTGGTAGTAACAAATATCAACAATCCTTTTTCTAATAGATTTTTTGTGAGTAACACTTCTAAGTATTCGATATAAGTTCAAAGATTTTACTAAAATAAATATTTTACTAAATGAAAAATGATTTTTTTTGTTTTAAATATAATCACATTTAGAATAACTTTTAAATTAATATAAAATTAACAGGTTACATCGATTAGAATTTCTTTAATAATTAAATTTCAAATATCAGTTTGACGAAATTTTTTTCATTGAATAAAATGTATTTGTATTTATTCACATGCTCGTTTATTATCAATAAGAAAAAAAATTAATCTATATCATCATCTTCATTTATTTACTTATATAAAATGACTATTTATCGCATAATATATGATTTGCATCGAATTACTTTACATTAACTGGATTTTGTCCTATTAATAATAAACCACCCTATAAAACATGTTTTTTATTTGGATTACTTGTTCTTCTAATGAAAATTCTGTTATTATTCGTCTATTTATAAGTGAATTTTTATCACTGATTCGTTGAACATTTACTAAATCAACAACATCATGACAAAGAGCAGGAATCGATTTCATCTGTAAATTAAAATCAGCCAATAATTATTTTAGATAAGGATAATCAACTAAATCATACAAAGGAGCATGTCCTCCGGGTAAATAAACAACATCATAATCATTTTCATTTTGATTTTCTAAAAGAGAATGTGTTGATTGAAATGAAAAAAAAAACGTATAGTTAATAATCATTTGTCACGTTCCATATTTGTACGAGAATGTGATGTTAAATTAGTAGGTATCTATATAAATTCAATACTTTCTTATCCACCAAATTTTTTTCATAATATATTATATAGTTCAGTAAATTTACTTAAATATATAAACCATGTAAATGACTCGAACGAATAACAACTAAATGTTTAGGTGGTTTATATAGTCCTGTTGTTATACCAACATGAAGTCTCAATAATTTTCCAATCGATGAAGTTATTTATTATAAGAATGAAAAATTCCACCATTTGTTGTAATATATATATATATATATATATGTAGATTAAATTGATTCAATAATGAATGAAATCATTTTATAGGGAATTTAAATATGTCTCAAATGATGACATCATTGACAAATGGAATATGAAATATATATTTAAGCTCTATGCACAAAGTACAAAAAAGAAAAATCTTGTAGACAAATTGAATATAAACAACAACAAAAACAGAGACTAATACTTATGCAGAAAGACAAACGAAAAGGGAGAAAAAGAAAAAGAAAAAGAAAAAAAAAACAGAATTTCTCATTACACTGGCGGAGTAGTTGAAGGTACAATTAATAAATCCACATCATCATACGCTGATGTATAACTATTTATAGTTGCTATTGATGGTGATGGTAATATTGTATTTGTACTATTTGGTAAAATATTATTTTCATTTTTATATACAATCATATCTTCATGTTCAATCATATCTTTAATTAAATTTTTTAATTCAAATAATATACTTATAAGACAACCATTTTTTAAACGATCATAAACTTTATCAACTGTATCACTAATTGATGATGATGTTGACATATTACTTGAATATGTATGTGTATGAATATAAATTAATTCCAAACAAAGAGAACATAATTGTTTATAGACAAGAACAATTTCACGTTTAAACTAAAATAAATGTAAAAAAAAGATTCAATTGAATTTATCATCTACTTTTTTCATGTTAATTAATAATTTAACTTATTTCTAAAGATGAAAGAGATAAATTTCAAAGATCCGAATGTCAATTATACTCTCGGAAACTGTTATTAAGCGGATAGTATGAACAATCCTTGATATTATATAACATGACCTATTTTATTCAGGAACTATAATCGGATAGGTCCTGTTTAAATGCAAATTATACAATCTTTTTTTTTTTACCTCTTCCGTTTGAAGAAATTCATCTAGAAGACATTTTTCATTGATTGATGATGTGTTATGTGTTTGTGATATTTCAACATCATTATCATCATCCATATGACAATCTTCATGTTCTTCTATATTATTATTATTATCATCATCATCATCATCAATAACGGTTGAATTAAATCGAGTATTTCCATCAGGACATACACCAAAATCATCATGTAATTCTTGCATAAAAGATGTTGCTACACGGTTTTCTGGATTATATTGTGATAAACGTTGAATTAAATCATGTGCATCATTCAATTCTTTTTCATTTTGAAATTTCTAATGAATAATAGAAAAATTTTTATAATAAATAAAAAACAAAAAACGATATAAAAACTCTTTTGAATATATACCATATCTTGTAATGAACGACATTCATCTTCAATTGAAATATATTTTCGTTGATATTCATCAAGTTTATGTACTAATGTATCATGTTCATCAAGTAATAAATGATGATCAAGTTCAAGTTGAATATATTGACAATGAAGATTATCAAACTAGAAAACGTTTAAATATTAGCAAAATTTGACGAATTTCGAAGTCTAATTTTCGATCAGACAACAACAAAAAAAAAACCCGAAACAAATAATATTGATATTTTTTTCAACTACTCGTTATTTTTTTCCTTCATATTAACGATGTCTATTCATATTATTTCAATATTTGACTTTGAAAATCGATATGAGACTTTTTTTTTGTTCTTCATCTTCTGATCATTTCAAAGAAAACAAGGTTAGAAAAATATAATAGATGTTCTTAATTTATGATAATATATTCATTTGTTACATATGCCATATGATTTATTATTGAAATATCGTTGCCTAATATCCCGACATATAAAGGTTATATGGAAGGATATATTGAATAAAGCTTCATTATATTAACTTGTACTGTTGATTGAGTGAGATGCAAGAAAAAAAAAAAGGATAGACATATAAATTATCGAATGATTAGCTTTCGATTTTTACTATCATAGAAAAAGAACATTGATTAGTTGTGTATAACAATTGCATGAATTTAATTAATAAAAAAGATATCTTGTTTTTTTTTTGTAATAAAATAATTTCTTATTTTTCTTTTTAGGCCTTCTAAATTTTATTACCTGTTGTTTTATTTTTGATAATTCTTGTATTTGCTCTGTATTTGTTTGACGTGCAGTATCAGCTTGTTGTCGTAGTACTCGTAATTGTTCTTGTAATCTTGATTCATTTGTACGACCCTATTTGATATCAAGTTTTTTATTTATCTTATCTCTATATATTCATATTGAATATTTAACAAAACAAAACTACTTACGATTTGTAAATCTTGCGTAAGTTTAAGATTGATTTCTGCTAATTCTTGTACTGTTTGCGTTTGTTGTTCATCATGTATTCGTTGTTCACGACGTAGATCATTTAATTGACGACGTAATTCACACTTATCTTCATTGGATTCGATTATTTTTGTATCACACTCACTTTGTACTTGTTCAAGAAGTAAACGTAATTCATATCGTTCTTGTTCAAGTACCTGCAAAAAAAAAAATCTGTATGATTTAATATTTTTAATATATAGAAATTAAAACTATACATCAATTTGTTGTTGATAATCTCGATTGATTATTTCTATTTGTCGTTCGAGTTCATCTTTTTCTTCTAATAATACTTTTCCACATTTTGCTGCTAAAATTAATTGTCGATCTTTAATAGCTAATTGATGAACAAGTGAATTGTCCTACGAAGAAAAAAGAAAATTTAATAATTTAATTTTCTATTTAATTTTTAAATATATTTATATACAAACATACTTGATCATCATCATTACAACAATTATTATTATTAGTTACATCATCAAGATATTTAACAGATGTAAAATTTTCAAGTTCATTTAATAAATTTTCTTCCATATGTATTAATCGTTTGTGTTCGATGATGATCTATGTATTTGTCTATCTGAAGTGAACAAAGACGAACTAACGTCTGTTCTTACTCTCACCGTTTTTATATAGTAGTTGTATTACTACCAACATCAAACATTACTATCAGCTAAAGTAGACAGTAGAAGTAAAAGAAAAAAAAAATGAACGGCACACATGCAGCATTCATTTGCTTTCTTTTTCTTTCTTTCTTTCTTTCTTTCTTTCTTTCATTCATTCATTCCTTTCTCTATTGCGTTCCATCATCACCTTCGTCATGTTGTATGTTGGCTTCCTCAAAAGAGAAAGAGAAGCGACACTAAATTAATTACCTAGAAAGAAAATGGCAACAGACCACAGAAGAGAAAAACTTTTTCTTTTCTCTACCTACGTCATACAGGTGGAAGAAGAAGAGTATAGAAAAGAAGGCGAAATAGCATAATAGTAAGTGGTGGTTCCATGTAACCTACTTTTATATTAGTTGAATAATCATCGCCATGAGGAAAAAAACCAAGTGAGAGAGAGAGAGAACAACTCATCAGGAGTTAGTCAGACGAGACATATTCGATACATCAAATGACATGAAACCATGAAGTAACAACAGTTAATAGCCTTGGCAACGATTGACAGCCGGAAATATAGAAAATTGTATTGAACAAAACCCTGTTGTGGCTAACAGTTGCTATTATTATTATAATGACGTAATAGAACAATGAGATAGTTGTTCAACTATTACCTACTACCGAGATTGAGCGACAAAGGTCGCGAATGATTGTGCAATTGAGAAACAATAGTTTTATAAATTGAATAACCTTTGTATGAAATTTTAGTTATAGGTTAAACGAACATTATAATTATTATATGACCGGTAAAAAATGAAAAGTCAGTATAAATAATGTATCCTTCTTACATAAATATCATAACTTATTGATACAAGACGAAACAAAAAAGTGAATTTTAAACTATAAATATAAGTTAATATGATTAATAATATTTTTTATTTGATTTCTTGGTTTTTTTCTTTAGTTCTATATAGTATAAATTTATCATTAGTATAGAAAAAATAAAAATGACCTTAGTCTATAAGCAATTTAGACCCTGCATGTGCAACAATTTATAAATCGATTATTGCCTTACAAATGGAATTTTATATGAATATTGTAAGATGATTTATTTATAACACAAGGTATATATTGATAGAATGGAGAGAGAGAGAGAAAGAAAAAAAGAAAAAGAAAAAAAGAAGTGAAATAACTTTTCAATTCCAATAGTTAACATTTTCTTTCTTTGTTGAAATATGAATATTATATAAAAAACTAAAGATGACACATTCATACATATGTTACATCATGAAACCTCATTATTGTTACTCTCTTATCATGTCTAATATGACATACAAGGATAAAAACGATCGAATGACATTTTAAAATACCAACAACTGATAATTATAGAACAATTTACAATAACGTTGAATTAGTAAAGACTTAAAAAAAAAAAGAAGAATTGTTAACAATCGATTTGTTATTGATTATAAATAAAAATGCTTGACGAGTCTTTTTCTTTTGTTCGTTTTTTTAACCATTGTATAAGTAAATTATATGTAGTTAAAGATCGTTTTGTGCTTTTTACATACTTCATTTTCTTTGAACTTTGAAAAGTTTATGATTGATGTCGAGACATATTAGTATTTAAGACTATTAACAACCTCAATGTTTTTCTTCGATTAAAAGCAAGGATAAATTTTTTTTTTTGCTAATATATTTACATTAAAGTATGATATTTTTATTTACTATAGAAATATTGATTTTCTTTTTCTTTTTATAAACATTAGAATTATTCATTTGGCACAAAGGATTTGAAATGAACTTCGAAAATGCTATAGAGTAAAATTAATAATTTACGTTATCATCTGAAAATTTCTCTATAAAAATATAGATTAAATAAAGTAATTCAATACGATTGGTTATTCTATAAAATATATCGATTCAAAATATATTGGAAACATATATTTTCAAAGCAACTATTTGGTTTCAATGTATGATTAATACAATTTATATTAAATATCAAAGAGAAAAACTGACATGCTTTTTGAATTTGAACAAAAAATACTTCTTTTATATATATATATATATACATAGTGTAGACGGAAGAAGTCCCGCTACTGGGTGAAAAGTACATAAAATTCAATCCTTTTGCTTGATGTTTTCTGACTACATGTAGAGTTCGGTAAACTCTGATTGGAAGCAGTAATCCGAGATCGATAGGCTTTAATGCAAAGAACTCCCAATGAAAACACTGATTTTTTTCCTGAGGGGTCCAAAAAAAGGCTTTTTTAGCACTTTTATGGTTTTCCAATTTTACCTCAATTTTCATATTAACAAAATAAAAATTTGCTTGTCTATATTGTATCATAGATAGGATACTCCAGTTCGCTGTAATCTTGAGGCATGGAGAAGTCTCCATTACCTGGAACGGTTTTCCCATCAACTCTCATGTCGAGATTACCGAAAAAATATTTCATAAATCCGTTTGACATGAAATTTTTATTGATGATAGAAACAGCACTAAGTTATCGAATGAGAATCTGACGTCATAAGGTTTGTTTTCTACGTTAAGATAATCTCGTCTGAAGAAAAAAAAAATCTATGTTGATCTTCTAGCTCCTTCATATGAAGGTCGATCAGAGTTCAACATGCTCTATTTGTAATCAAACTATGAGACTCAAGGATTAAAATTATTGTCTTTGTTGTTTGAATATTAGATGCAGGTCTACTTGCCTATGTCTGTTTCTAGTATATTATATTGAAAAATTCACAGTTTTTACTTCAGAGAGTTGAGGATCCATACTTTTCTGAACCCAAGTTTTCCTTCAAAAAAGATTCAAGATAAAAAAAGAACCTTTTTAGCACAGTGGAACTTATATATCTTTAAAAAATACAAAAAATGAAAAGTCTCTAACAGACGAACATTACTTACGAACGACAATCGATCGTCAGAAAACATTCTGTCTTATTGATTTCTACATTTCGAATAGATATTGTTTTTTGACTCATGCTGTTTTTGTGTTATTTGTTTTGTTGCTATTTGCTTGCTCTTTACTTTCTTTTTCTTTTATGTCGTTTTTTATAATTTTATTATGATTATTCTGCTTACTATTGGTTTAATTGACAAAGAAGCCTGTTGTGCACATTTGTTATATTTACAAAAGATTTTAACATTCTACTACGTATGTCGATAAACTCAGTAACACTGATATTAATTATCTTCAAAAGTTAGAATTTGAGCAGTTCATGTAACAACTGTGATAAATCAACACATTATTAGCCATCATCATTAATATCTATCCAACAATTGTTTATCTACGCAAAAAATGTGAAATGTTTTGGACTGACAAGTCCTGTTGCTATTGCCATTCAGTATCTTTTTCTGTTGCTAAGAAATGATGCAAGACCATTCTCTAATATTCATTGTCCTCGGTTACTATGGAAACGTACTCAATGACAAGTTTTGACTTTTGAATCGGTAAGTAGAGCCTAGAATGGGAGAACTGTCAAAACCTTGATTTAAACTTAAACTTACTATTTTTCTCCAAACAATGTAATGTAAGTTCTATAAAAATGTCAAATCAACAGTAACATCAAATTCTTCAACCGCATGGCATAGATTTGGCTGTATTTACATAAATGATATCAAACTTGAAAAAGAGAAAAGAGAGTATTATAGATTGACTATGGATTTTTCTGTTCTTAGATTCAAAGATAGTGGCAAACAAGATCTAAAGTTCAATCTGAATACAGATCCAGATCCGATCTGAAAGCATCTGTAGCTCTTTACCTTACTTAGATTGTACTAAAAATTATAATAACATGAAATAAAACTATAAAGATAAAGAAATTTAAAAAAAAAATTTCTTTTTGTTAAATGATCAAAATAGTTGTCATTATTATTTACACAAATTTTAAAACTTTTTTCTAATAAATTTTTTACCTTCTTGGAAACTACATGAGGTAATCATATTTTACATGCCTTAGAATTTAGTGAAATATTGTAAAAGATTATATTAATAGCTTTCCACTATTATACTACTGATCAGATATGAACAAGTAAAGTTCATTGAAACTTGATTTACTTAGGTCTAGACTGGCAGGATAGAGATATGCAGATAGCTCCAATTAAATATAAATGTGTTTTAAGTAAAGTACGAAATAAATAATAGAGATGATTTTGATACCTAAAAGTGATTCATTTCATCAAACAATTTTAAATATGCGCCGTTCGTTTAACAGAAATTTTTATCAAATTTTTTATTATTTCACTGTAATATCTTTTTTTGCTTTTGTTTTGTAATACTAGTCTTAAAATTTCATTTCGAATTTCAAATAATAAAATTGAGTACAATGTATAAAGCAATTCTTTTTATCGTACATTGATATACACGCATGGGTGTATTCTCATGAACGATATGCGGTCATAAATAAAAGAAGTATACTGATTTTAGAGATTTTATGCTCGAAGTTTCACTATTTTAAATTCAAAACGTATATTATACACATATTGATTTATGAAGATAACATAGCAATCAATACAATTATATACAATTAGTTATATTAGTATTATTTCTATTGTGAAATGAATTGATATCACATGATTCAAATGATATGCTTGTAGTTAATCATAATCATATATTCAGATTCACTCTCTAACTCTTAATAGTTCTTACATCACATCCTCATGTAAACAGGATTGAACAATTCATTGAATCATTTAATAATTTAACAACAATAATAGCTGCTAGTATTAAGATCATATTTCTTCACACATACGGTCATTTATGGAGTCCATTATACGACTACCATTTTATTCAGCATAGCACATATACAGTCATTATACTGAATTATATAATACAGCAAAACACAGTCGTATACGGTGGAACACGGAGTGTATACGACTTTCGTATTCTTTGGCCTGAGATAATACTCTTCAATTAATTT